TGAGAGGGAGTGGGAGAGGTTCGAACACAGTCTTGGGTATTTCAAAATCTAATGATAGGTTATGTTTAGCTACTCTTCTCTTTAAAAAATGGAGATAGATGATAAATGTCAAGCTCATTTATAATTGGTAGGAATTTCCAAAGTGCAGTCATCTCACCTCATGCTCCCTTCCCCCCACCCCCAAAAATAGACAAAAATACCACGCAGGACATAGGTTAAAAAAAGACACTGTCAACATCAACAGGAAACAAGTCCGCTCCCGCCACATGTAGATGACTCAGGGGGTGAGCAGGGAGTGGACAGACGTTTCTGGGAGGGTCACACCCTTCTCAGAACAAGGGCCCTGGAAGAGCTTCTGGAGTCTGAAATGACTGAAACCAAAGAGTTGGTCCCTAGTTTTCTAAAGTGATTCAGCTCTGAACTACAACTTTAGCAAGACCTTTGTCACACCTATTTATAAGTATAGTCAATTACAGAGGTGATTGTATATCTATCCGCATTTTCAAATCCCTCACAGGTAACAAAGAACCTTTGGGTCAGTCAGTATCTTACCAACTGTGTTCTCTGCTAAACAAACATGAATAATATCACTTTAGAATTAAATTACATTTGATATTTCCTCAAAGTGTTTCATAGACATTTTCTCACTATCATAAAGATACTTTGATTTTTTAAGAAAAAGGAATGTATGAATCATTTAAAAAGAAAGAAAAAACACTTAGTTGGCATTTCCTTACTACACAGTGCAGGTTGTTTAGTTATTGATGTCAGTTCCAAAGAATGACCCTGTATATATATAAATGACTAAATTCTACTGAATTCCTGCTTTGCCAATGTTGCCATTACTCAACATTCAAGCGCCTCACGGCCAGGGAGTGCCGGAAGCATGTGCTTTTAGAAAGAAAGTGTGCAGCACCATGTGGACTGATTGTCTATCTGAGCCACTGTTTTCACGTGTCTCACAAGGCAGCAGGAATGACAGAGAGATCCCGTGACCAGGAAGTCAAGAGACCAATTCTAGCCCTGGCTGTGGGCCTAACTGGCTGCCATGAAATAAGGGCAAGTAAGGTAAGCTGCAGTTTCTTAGCCTGTAAAGAGAAGGCTCGGGGTATTGATAGTGCTCAGACAGGGCTGGTGTAAGAAACACCTGGGAGATTCTTGACAACACATGGATTGAGACTCCACCTTTGTGGGAGTGAGGTCAATGATCACTTTTTCAAAAGACCCCTAGGGAATTCTGTTTACACGTTTCTTGATGAGAGTCACTGGAGTAGATGCTAAAAATAGTAAGAATATTAGCAGTTAACATTTATGAAGTGCTCACTGTATACCAGGCATTTGAGCTAAGTACCCTACACACATTATCTCATTTAATCCTTATAACAACCCGATGAGGTAGTTACTGGTATTATTCCTGTTTTATAATGAGGAAACTAAGTTGTGGGTTACACACTGGGCTGCTAACTATAAGGTCAGCCGTTCAAATCCACCAGTCACTCAGAGGGAGCCCGATGAGGCTGTCTGCTCCCGTAAAGATGTACAGCATCAGAAGCACTATCCAGGGCTGCTATGAGAGAGATCTGACTTGATGGCACACCACCACCATAGTGCATCTTTTAAACTCAAAAGTTCCATGATTTTAGTTAATAAATATGGGCTGTGCCTTAGCAAAGTCACAATGTTTGATTAACTGGGAACTAATGTTCAGCTGAACTGTAAGAAAATTTCCAATTTAAACTTAAAAAAATACAGCTGGAGAAGTTTCTCCACTATAATGAGCTTTATACACAGATAGCATCTGGGAAACAAAGAAGGAACCTGTTGTTTTTTTAAGGCTGTCTTTCTGAAAATTATAAGGAGGTCTGTAGGAAAATATATCCGTTTTAATTGAACACAAAGCCTTTTAAGAAAATACTTTATGTAAAGCACAATCAAGATGTATGCTACATAAAACACTGCATTTTAAAGTGAGGTGAAATATTACCTGTACACAAATGGTGGTGGATTCACGCTGTGGTAACCCAAAGGTATGCCTCCATCTAGAACCACTTTAGAAAACTTTCAATACCTTGTTACCAGGGTTTTAGGTTTTGGTTTTTTTCCCCAACTACTATCTGCTTTGCTTTTATACTAAACAGAATTATATTACACTTTTTAGTTTCCAGAAGCATTTTTTCTGCTTTGAAATTAAACCTTTTAACTTATGTAAGGTCTTCTGAATCGGTCCTCTTCTAGTAGAAAAAGGACAGACTCAGTTGATGTTTTATAGTGAGTTGACAGTGTCTCTTTAACCTGACCCCTGAGCCTCAGCCCCTGAAGTTGCACAGTTCAAGCGTCATGCAGGATGGGGTGTGTTACAATAATCATTGCTACTCTTGACAGTGGTGAGAGAAATCGATTCAATTCCTTAATTTACTGAGCACCCACTGTAGGTAAGACAGAGCTAGGTGCTGCCCCTGAGTAAGACACAGTCCCCACTCCTTAAGATTGCTCTTCGAGGAGAAAACCAGGAAGCTTAAATACACTCAGTAGTGTTTCTCCGCGGTTTATGTTCAGAACTCTCAAGGAAAAAGATTCCTTGCTAGGAGAAAAAAAAAAAAATCCCCTGAAAAACAATGATAATCCCTTGACTTGCATCCCACAATGATAGGGATAAAATTAAAAAAGCAGCATATTAATATTCTAAAGTTTCAGCTTACCACCTCCCCACCTTTAAAAAGCTAACTGCTAAAATGGTTTCAAGTTTATTGATGTGTATGATGAGGGAAATAGCATGGAAGACGGCAGGAGGAGGATTGCTGGTTGTAAAGGGGATTAACCCGAATACAGCCTGTGCTTTGTCTGTGGGTACCATACTGATAGGGACTCTCTCTTCCCTCCTTATCCTTCTCTTACCTCGGACCTCCTCTAGAGCAGCAACAAGAATCAAGATTAACTGTCTTTCTATGCAAACTGAATTTCCTTCTTGGTCAAAGGCACCAAACTATCCAAAACAGTTTCCCCTCAGTTGCTGTTATTAGTTGTCCTTGATTTGATTCTGACTTACGGTAGACCCTTGTGTGCAGAGCAGAACTGCTCCATGGGGTATTTCAGTCCAATTAATAGAATAGCTCAGCAGTTCTAAATTTCAATAATACCTGCTACTGAGCGAAGGAGAGAATGAAGAACCATTCACCATAAAGACTGCACTAAAGAGCTTCCCAGAGAGGCTCTCATAGGGATAGCTATGCACTTACTTACTTGCAGAAGACCCTTGAGAACATGTATCGTTCCCTTCATTAAGAGGTTAAGAGATGAGGCTGTGGCTTGACAGTGGATCAATGACAGAGCCTGAAAGAAAATTCAGTGCTCAGCAAGGTTAAACTCTTATCTTCCTAAGCTAATATTCCTTTAGGAAGAAAAAATTGAAATATATATTGGGTTCTCTTGGGGACTAGGAGAGTCTCATAAACCTTTTTAAAAACAGCAATTAGAATTAAACCAAATACCAGGGCTATTAATACCTAATCATTAGAATTCTTCCCATGTGACTCTAATTAGCTCTGTAATTAGAAATGAGAAGGAACAGAAAAGGCCACTTTTAGCCAGAGCAAAACATAATTTGATGGCTAAGCCATTGGATTTCTAGGGTCTAGTTGGTGCTTTCTGAAAATGCTTCTCCTTCAGTTACATATTCTTAAAATAAAGGTGAATTAAAAAATAAAGAATATTCCCAATATGATCTTTACAAACAAGCATGATGGTAGGATGGGGAATATAAAAGGGGAAAAACATGTAAGAATGATTTGACATCATTTGCCACCTGAAGAGAGACAATGCCTCCCCCGGCTCTACTCAGATTGGCTCTAGAGTGGTTAAGAGATGGGAAAGGTAAAGAGAAACAGCCATTAGGACCAAGCCACCTTCTTTTCTCAGTCCCTGGCCTCTGAGTCTGGCCATCTGGGTTTCAACAAGAGGCTCCCTCATTGTATTTTAGTTGTTTGTTAAGTATGTTGTTGTTGATAAGTGCCGTCACGTTGGTTCTGACTCAATCACAGTGACCCTGTATAGGATTTCTGAGGTGCGGCTAGTAGGTTTGAATTGCCCACCTTGTGGTTACAAAGTGACCTTGCAGTCCGGTGCTTATCCTTCAGCACCACACCACTTGTTAGGATATAGCTGCTCAAATCCTTGGCCACTGTCAGTCTGCAAGGGCACGGTATCAGAAAAGCATGCCTCTGTGAAGACCTGTATGTGACCATGAGTCTCACAATCCATGTTGGTTAGTGTCCTGAATGCTGCCAGGGGATAAAGAAGAAAGCCTTCCCAGCAGGATGTAAAGAAGAATCACTAAGAGGGGCTGAGTGACCCCTGTGCCTCTGGTTTACAGGTGGGCACCCACAAGCAGCAGGAACTCCATCCTGGTTCTTTAGAAAGCAATATGCTAGGCTAGAAGTGACTTCTGATAATCAAACTAGAATTTAGGAGGAGGTTTTCCTCTTCCTGATGAAACCTCCCAGCATTCTTTACTTTTCCAGCTGTATATTTTAGAAATTTGATTTGCAGTTCTTACTGTAACAGCAATGACCTCGTGGAAGCAAGGTCAACAGCTGCTTCCAAAAGACTTGAACAAAACTTCTGTTGGTGCATTCCCAGCATTCCTTTCTTCTAACCCTATAAATTCATTAGGTGAGTTGGTGCACAATCACCATTAGTACCTACTGGAGCCCAGGTCAGCTCCCTGTTGTGTGGAGAATTGGTGCTGTAGCCTTGCTGAGCTCAGCCCCATCTAGCCACCTCACATCACTCCAGATAGGAAAAGACTGGGTTTCTTCCTTTATGACATGACAATGATGCTCCCTGATTTTGCAGTGCAGCTTCCAACCCTGGCGACTGCCCTGCCCTCCCCTCCTTTTTCTCTCCTGTACTTGTGTGGCTTGCTTTTTGTTATTGTTGAGATGAACCTGTAAACGTGAGAACTCAGGGACCTGAGGTACTTTACATAAACACACTCAAGTATCAGTCTTTCAGTTTTTGAAAACAAGAACACAGGCAAACAAGTCCCCTTGCCCTCTCCCCAAGAACTGTGTGCATCTTTCCACTGGGCTAACAGTGGCTACCTCTGCACCACATCACTTATTTCCTGTACACATGACAATAAGTTATTAAGGACTGGGTTTGTCCCGGGTCCACCAGCAGCCGCAGAAGACACCTGCAGCTCCTGCAGGCTGAGTTCCAGTTTGCTTACGGCCTCTCGGAAGGCAAATTTGTTGCGGGTTTGAGGGATACAGTCCACATAGCCTGAGCAGTAGTCCAGCAGCTGGTGGCCAGTGTCTACCAGCTGGCTATTGGGCACAGGTTCCGTGATTGCACTGGACAGTAGGTCAGCACATTCCAGCAAGGCCTCTTTGCTGATTTTGTCTGCTGAGATTTTCTCAGCCGCCTGTTTGGTTTTTCTCAGAGCCACTTTAGTACCTGCTGTGCCATTGGCCATTTTGGCTGGTGAGATGGAAGATGTGGGCAGAGGCACTTGAGGGGGAGGCATCCCTGGCCTCCCAGCTTTCCCACTGGTGGGCACTGCCCCTGGAGCTGCCTTTTTCCCACCTTCCTGGGTGTCTGAGGAGGGCTGTCCTGCAGAAGGGGCAGTCGGCTCTTCCGGAGGGTCTGAGCATACGGACTGATGCTGCAGTAGTCTCATTACAGGTGGTGGGGGTGGGGCACACTTTGGTTTTACCCGCCGGGGCCGGTCCTTGTCTCCCGAGGATGTGACCTGATGCTCAGATAAGAGCTTGAACTTGTTCCCCTGAGAGTCTGTGCCAATGAGCTGCACGTCCGCTGGAGTGTGTTTCAGAGTGGGCGAGATAAGGACTGGCACTTTGTGGTTGTGAGTGGTTGGGAGGACTGCTGCCGCCTTGGCCGGAGAAGACCACCCTGGCTGCTCTCCATCCTCTGGAACTCCAGCCATCCCAAGTCGTGCCCCACCATTCCTCTCCTTGTTCTTGGGGGCAACTGCAACTCCAGCCACCCCTAGTCCTGGAGAGTCTTTCTCTGTAATGGCTGGATCCCCAGAGGGCGTTCTGAGAGGAAGAGCTGTGGCTCCTCTGGGCAAAAGTTTGGCTTTTGGTCTCTCCCTGGTTGGAGCAGCACCTTCCTCTGATTTCTTGGGAAGCAAGTCGTTGGCCCTGCCCACATTCTCTTCTGGCTGAGAAGAGGTGGACACGGTCCTTTCCAGCTGCAGTTTGGACCTCTGGCAGTTCCTGGGGAGAGTCATTGCCATCCTATCCTGCTCTGGAAGCCCTGAGGACATGGAAGATGTAGAGTTTGACCTTGGGAAAGGCTTGGAGGCGTCATCACTGGCTGTGGGTTTACCCGCTCGTAAGCCCAGTGTCTTTTTTATTAAGCGTGGAGTAAAGAAGCCTGTGATGCCAGACCACCCACCCCCAGCAGTGCCACTGCCCCCACCACCCCCGCCGTCGTCATTACAGAGGTTCCTCTGTGCAAAGCTCCCCCCATAGCACTTGGGTGGCACCAGATTCGACTCTTGCTGGGCAGGCACAAAAGAGAGCCCGTCAGCATGCTGCAGAGAAGCAACAGATGAGAAGTTACCCGTGAGCTCATATTTCTTGTGGGGTTGATTCTCCATTTCTCGGAAGGAGCTGCTGCGTTTGGGGGGTGTGGGAGCATTTCTCTTTTTCATGAAGGAACTGAAGAAGCCTCCTTTCCTATCTCTGGTGAAGCATGTCTCTTTGGCATCTTCCAAGAGGCTGCTGGGTGACTTGTCTCTCTGCTTTCGAGGCAGTGCTGGGGAGCCACTGGGGGCCTGTGCACTTCTAATGAACCCTGATGAGAAACAGTCTATCAGTCATGTAAAAGACGAGAAGGGTACCCATAACACCTGAACCACTAAGGCGCCACTCTAAGGGGTTTGTCAGCATCTATGAAGTGGTAGGTGGTGGCAGGACCCAGAGGACACTACTAAGAGGATTAATGCAGTCTCACTTTACACTGATTAGTGTAAAATATCTGTTGGCTATTCCCTCAGCATTCATCCTTTCTAAAAGCTACAGCATAGTCAGGCTAATGACATTTCCCAGAACTGTAAAGATGGTCATTATTTGGCATCAGGAGTTGGGGAAATGAGGCTAGAGGCAGAGCTGTATATGTCAGAGGGACAGATGAGGATGATTAACACTGGCAATGCAGAGTCAGAGTGACAAGTAAAATAAAGGCCAAGGTTTCTTCAGGGTAGATAGGCATAAAAATGGGAATAAAAGCATCATACTACATTGTTCCTCAAACAAGGAAGCAATTCATAAAGTCCTATTTTGATTCTTCTGGTCAAGGAACCCATACCTGGTGCTGAGCTGGAGGCAGAGTTCTCTGTGGCATCTTGTGCCCCTTCAATGTTTTCCTTGTTTTCCACCTGTTTCTTCAGTGTCCGAATCTTGGAAGGAAGTATAGGTAATCGGGGCAAGTATGGAACAACAGATGAGGAGGAGGCAGCTCTTCCAAGCTCCTCAGCTACCTCTGTGAGAAAGACAATTTGTTTTATAAAAAGAACAATTTAATGAGATAGAAGAGGAACTTTCGTTTTTAGAAAAGGCATACACTGAGAAAGAAATGGAGATTATAGTGTCCACACATATAAATGGCATCACAGCTAGAAGTTACTGACTTCTTTTGTTCAACATTATGTCTGCAAGATTCATCCATGCTGTTTTGCATGTGGCAAAACTTCTTACTTGTTGCTGTGTTGCTATGTAGTATTCTGTTGTGTTTGTTGTTGTTAAGTGCTGTCGAGTCGGTTCTGACTCACAGCAACCCTGAACAGGGTTTCCGAGGCTATAAATCTTTACAGGAGTAGAAAGCCTTATCTTTCTCACGCGGAGCAGCTAGTAGTTTCCAACTGCTGACCTTGCAGTTCATAGTCCGATTCTTAACCACTACGCTGTTGTGTAAATTTACCATAATCTAACCATTTTATCACTTTGAGGACTAGGTGCACCTGACCCAAGCCATGGTATTTTCAATATCCTCATAGTGTGCATGGAGGTTTACTTTGAATGGACAATGCCAAACTGTCTGCCAAAATGGCTTTACCAATTCACACTCCCATTAGTGGTGAATATTAATAAGAGATCTGCTAAACTTGATGTTATCAGGTATTTTGGTGTTTTTAAATTTTAGCCTTTCTGGTAGGTATGCAGAAGTATATACTGCAATTTTATTTCGTACTTCATGAGGATGAATGATGCTAAACATGATTTTAGATGCTTATTGGTCATTTGGATATCCTAGTTTTCTAAGTTACCTATCCAAAGGCCGAGCAAAGCACACACACACTACAGATTAATTTGATTTTTAGGCTGCACCTTACACTAAAAAGGAGGGTAGACACAATCCATTCCAATTCATGCATGTTAAGCAAATTAGGATGCTGCAAAATGAGTTTACCCATTAGTAAGTATGGGCTGAATAAAACCTGGCAAAGAGTTTTGCAGCATTTACTGAGGCAAGGACATATTTGCTACGCATTCCTGAACAAAAATGAAGCGGGTAGGACCAAATAAAAATTTTTTTTTTCTTAAATTGTAATATTTTATCATTTAAAAAAATTAAAATGATCTACAATAGGGTGCACATGGTACATAACCCAAGCCATGCCAATGAGATTCCTTTCTTAGACTTCTATACATAGCAGCTGGAAGAATTATATTCTTTGGGAGCTATAATGATATGACCTTAAGGATGTTCGCAAGTGTGTCTCATGTTATTTGCAATAATCAGAGGATAAAATAAAAGCAGAAGCAGGAATAAAGAGACATTGGGAGTGAATATGAGAGGGAATTCTTTTTCTTGTTCCTCTCAAGAAGGAAGGAAAAAGACCTGAAGCTACTTAATACCCTAACTTCAACAGATCCTGAAGTTAGGGTCTCCCTTGTTTTTCCACAGATTGGTTGCTGTTGTTGTGAAGTGCTGTTGAATCGATTCTTACCCATAACGACCTTGTGTATAGGGTTTCCAAGGAAAAGCTGGTGAGCTTGAACCACCAACCTTGCAGTTCAAAGGACTGGTGTGTGTGTGTGTATATATATATATTCGTTTAAGGTAGGGACTGTGTCTTATCTCTGTGTCCCTAAACCTAGTACAGTGCCGGCCAGAAATTAAATCAATAAAATGTGAGTTTAAGAATGTTAAATTTCTTCTTTAGCAATTTTTCATTGAAATTAACTTTGGAAATTGTTAAGAGTTTGTTTTCTAAAAGGATGAAACATTTTAAAGAGAAGCAGGAATACTTATTTGAGTCAGCAAAAGTTGGACCTTGCTTTTTGACTGATGTCCACAATTTCTAGCACTTTAGCTACATAGAAAATAAAGCACACAGAGGAAGAAACAGTGCTGTGACAGGCTGCAGCTCAATCTGGCCCAGAAGGTCAGATGTGCCCTCCACAACCTGCAGATGTTTCATACATGAAAGGACTACTAGGATGAAAATAATTTTCACTCAATGTTGGTACTGTGCCTCTTTTTTTCCTTTCTTATCTAATATGCTAAATCACTAGTGGAAGCAATGTGCTTGATTTCCTCTTCTATTAAAATATTTTAAAAACTTGAACTTGACCACATCAGTTTGAATGCGTGCCGCTCTCTACAGTCCTGCCAATAATCCAATCTCCTGTATCTGGCTCCTGAACAGGCTAATTACACCGAGTCCCCTGCTCTAGGGCTTTGACCCTAAGTTTTCCTGTTCCTAGATGTTTGGAATTCAGGTCTGTTCCAGTTTTATGTTATCGCTCATGAATGAACCAGTTTGAAGCCCTGATTCTTACCTTCAGAAATGCTGGAGTCATGGAACATGGTTTCAAAAGCTTGGTGAGTCTCAGCAAAAGAAGGCCTGTCAGCAGGGCTCCACTTCCAACCTATACATAAAACATTAAGAGGAAATCATTAAAAACGTCTTGCAAGAGAGACATACCCAGTGGCATAGTTGATATGGAGTTCGGTGCATCCTAATGCATGCTTATTCGAGTAGAGGGACTGCACATCCTCAAAGCTCATGATGCAGCTGCTTCGCACGGCTAGACTTAGGCGAAATGAACCCACCTCCTGGGGCTGGTTCCACCTGTTAGTCTCAATTTCTGTGCTCTCTAGTCTAGACTGAAGGGAGGTTGGGAGATGGTTTAGGAAATGGCAAGTTTTCTTCCACTGGAAAATGAAAGAAGCCAAAACTGTCTTTGAATCATTCTAACTTGGTAAATAATCAGCTGTATATATGCAGATATATAATGAGATATACCAGAAAGAAGAACTTAATGCTCTCATTTGACAAAGACAAGGAAGTAAGCAATACCAATGCTCAATGAGTAAATAAAACAAAAACATGTTTAAACAAAGCTGCAATCTAATTCACTATTCACATTCCCATGTTCTGACCTTCAAGCACTCAGATACTTTGTTTATTCATCTCAGAGTTATTTTCGTATACTCTCCATAGTCTTTAGCAACCTTTTTTATCTAGTTGAAAGCAACTCTCCTTTTTCTTAATCTCTATTATATCTTATTTTCTCTATTAAACATTCAAATGCTTTTGGGAAATTGGGGTCAATATTTGGGCCATGTACAACTATTCTTAGGATTCCAATCAGACTCAGTGGTGTTACCACATGATATGCCAACTGGCTAATCAATGGAAAGCTCTCTAGTGTCACGAGGCTGGAGCCAATCTAAAACTGAGAGGTGATGAGGAGAAAGGTTTCCAATTTCACAAACAACCCTAAACTGCTGACAAAGACCTTCATGGTCAAAATATTCAAAGCACTCACATGCTCGCATAAGTTCATAAACCTTAGGGGGACATCCTTCAGGTTGTTCCATCCGATATCCTTTTTCCAGTAGATCATAGACCTGGGACAGGTCAATACCTGGGTATGGTGACATTCCGTAGGTAGCGATTTCCCACAGTAGCACCCCAAAAGCTGTACAAGAGATTAAAAAAGGGGCTTAATGTTTCTTCTATGATTTATTATTTATTTTACATTATTAGTTAATATCACTTTGAAAGTTCGGGTAACATTTTACAATGTTACAACAATACTCTTATATTCTTATAATTTGACTTGGCCATTAGTTGAAGATACCACCACAAGGAATTCTGCAGGTATAACCTGGAGGCCATTTTCTGTAACTTCCCCAATTTTCATTTAGATTGTTTTTACTATGATGAGGAAGAATACGCTATGCACACAGAAAAGGCCTAATGTACAATTAAACTATTCTTAGAACAATAAATCATCTATTCAAGAGCTGTACAGCACTTAACAAGAGCAACAGTTTTAACCACAGAGTCCTGGTGTGGTGCTAGAGGATGAGCACTGGACTGCTAACTGCAAGGTCGGCAGTTCAAACCCACCAGCTGCTCCTCAGAAACCCTGTAACAGGGTCGCTATGAGTAGGAACCAATTCCAAGGAACTTAACAACAGTTTTAACTAAGTTACTAGAGGAGTAAGATAAAATTGGAAGCACTTAAAGTCATGTAAAATCCACAGCAGAAAAAGAATTTGCCTGATTTTATAGCAGTTAGGTTGTTTCTGAGATTAAGGTCTCTGATAAAAAAGTGACTTGAAATCTTATAACTCTTTTTACTCCTTGACCTGACTATTGACTGATTGATATACAATTGAAGGTATTTCATAAGGAAAAAAAAAAAAAAAAAATGGGTAACCCATCCAAAAAAAAGTAACAACTCAAATTTATAAAATATTATCAAATAGATGAAAAAAACAACCTCAGAAACTAATTAATTCATGCAGTCAGCAAATAAACCTTGCTGTTTTGAATACTATACAAAAAACTGCTCTGTGACCAGTGGAAGGGCCATATTATGATTTTTTTTACTGTTTTCCATTTAACTTTCCTCTCTCTTGGGCCAGAGTTTAAATGGAGTCCCACTCAGTTAAGGGTGTGGAAAACCTCAAATCAACACAAAGAGGGAAAGACCTTAGAGAAAGGCAGGAGAGAATAAAAGTCACCATGTCTCCAAGTCCTGGTGAGACTGTTAGAGCCTCTAGTGAATCCACACCTGAAGCCAACTCTTCCCTCTTTACCTCAAGCTCTTTTTGCTAATGCATTCCCTTGAGGCCTGAGCCAATTTGTTTGGTTTTTGATCTATGAACACACTGGCTCAGAACTCAAACAAATGTCTTTCATTTAGTAGTTCAATGCAAAAAACCCCACACAACCCCCCACCCCAAAGTAGCATATAAAATATGCATATCCTGATCAGAATCAAGGTTCAAAACAATAGCAATTCTTTTGGTTCTCTTTCCTGCTTGTGTTCTTTTCCAAGTGGCATATTCTTTTTATACTTGGTTTCAATCACTGCTGACTGTGTGGTGAAGAGATAGGTATGTTTTCCCTTACAAAAGTGTAAATAAACACAGAGCCAGCACATGTATTTTTAGTATATCTCTGAAACTCCTAACTCTAGTCTTTTAATATTTTATTTCTTTAAAATAGAAGCTAGAGGAAGTATCATAAATATTAATGGGAAATTTATGAACAACTAAGTTACTGCTCATCTTATTGATGGCTACTATTTCTCAGAAAGGAGAAAGAAGCCCTGGTGGTACAATGGCTAAGCACTCAGTTGAAAGCCAAAAGTTGGTGGTTCAAACCCACACAGTGGCTCCGTGGGAGAAAGAGCTGGTGATCTGCTTCCATAAAGATTACAGCTCAGAAAGTCCTAGGGGCAGTTCTACTCTGTCACACGGGGTGCTATGAATTGGAATCAATTAGACATACCTAACAACATTTCTCTAAGAGAAAACTGCTTTGGAAAGTCTTGCTCCTTTCTCTATTTCACTGACTCCTTTTATTACTAAAAACTTATATATATAAACATTTCTTAATTGGCCCACAATCCAAATTCACAGACTTTTTCAGTTCACTTAAGTCTCTCCAAGGTCATACTGCTTTTTGAATCATGTAGAAGCAAGATCAGTTAATAAGGCCAAATTTTAGATGTCACTTTATCATGCCTATTTTGAAAAGTGGATGCTACTCTGTGTGACAGTGTTCTGGCCACAAACATACTGTGCAAAATAGGGAGCTTACAGAGAATGGGTTGTAAGGATTCTGATGCAATAGGAGAGCTAGACCATGAGTTCTCTGAAGGAAGGGACGGTTTTACACATTTTTCTATACTAAGTGCCAAGCACAGTGCCTGGTAGATGTTGTTGTTAGGTGCTACTGAGTTGATTCTGACTCACTCATAGAGACCCCAAGCGACAGAGTTAGAACTGCACCATAGGGTTTTCTAGACCATAATCTTTATAGAGACTGATTGCCAGATCTTTCTCTGGTGGAGACACAGGGAGAACAGGGATTAGGGGATCTAATCACTAACCTTTCAGTTAGTAGTCAAATGTTTAACTATTTGCATCACCAGGGCTCCTTGCCTAGTAGGCAGTAGTTTAATACATGCTTACTGAATGACTGAAGAAGGATATTGAACATCTTTAAAAACAAAGCACAATGAAACAACCCAGAAAGCTCTAACTAATTAAAGGAATTTATAAGGAACTGTGGTAGCATAGTGGTTATGAGTCAGGCTGCTAACCTCAAGGTTAGCAGTTCGAAACTACCAGCGATTCTGCAGGACAAAGATGAGGCTTTCTGCTCCCATAAAGATTTACAGGCTTCGGAAACCCTATGCAGGGTCACTGTGGATAGGAACCAACTTAACAGCGCTTAATTATAACAACAACACAAAGAAAATAAAATGACATAGGGAGAAGTCCCTTGCAACCTTACCCCAGACATCCGATTTGATTGAGAAGGTGTTGTAGGCAAGACTCTCGGGTGCTGTCCACTTAATAGGGAATTTGGCTCCAGCATGAGCAGTATAGGTGTCTCCAGTCATCAATCTACTTAAGCCGAAGTCAGCCACTTTCACCACGTGGTTTTCTCCCACTAAGCAGTTACGAGCTGCAAGATCTCTATAGTGGAGAGGGGGGAAGCTCTAATATGATTCCATTCAGATGGTAAAGAAAATGGTCATGAATGCTTTATTCTTGGTTCTTTGTGCTAAAAGCAGAGTTGGTACGTGCTGAGAGAGGCAGGAGTATTTTGTGACAACTGCTACCATGGCAGAACACGCACTCTGAGGAGTCAGTTATCCAGAGGCAGTTTTGTGATATCAAAAAAAAGCAAACTTCATAAAATGGGTTCCCTGTTTGTACATACAAGCATCCTGGACTAGGTTTCAGAGGTAAGCAATAGATGTTTCTCTGTAAGGCTCTACATACTTTCCTAAGACAAGCTATTTTTAAACTAAAGCCACTAGATGGAGCAAAAGGATTTTGGATATAGTGCTAAATAAATGAAAGGAACAGCTTTCTTTTTTAAGAAGAGCAAAGTCCCAACATTAACACCTTAATCACAGTACAACAGGATTACAAGTGGGAAATGACATCTGAAAGGCTTGCAAGAAAATCCCTTTCCTGAATCATCTGAAATGTTCTGAGTAGGTTCTCCACGTTCTTCCCTTTAGCTGCTAAGCGAGACAGATTGATTGTTAGTCATAGGCAATAGTCAGGTTTACACACCTATGGATGAAATTCTTCTTTTCTAAGTACTCCATGGCAGAAGAGATCTGAGTGGCCATGTAGAGCAGTACAACTGCAGTCACCTCTTCTCGATTGCATTCTCGGAGGTAATCAAGCAAGTTCCCATACGGCATGTACTCTGTCACAATGTAAAATGGTGGCTCCAATGTACACACACCTGATAGGCCAAGAACAGTGCTTGTTTAATATGCATATTTTCAAATACCTTAAACCATTTTAGCCAAGAGCAACTTGACACCTTTTTAAAGTCTAGTTCAGTAGTACTCTTTCCTCTTCTTGCTACCACATTCCCTGAACTTACTATAGCAAAAATTAAGACGTTTGTTGATAAGGGAGTCTCTGCCTCTATCATATTGGTCTCTGAAAATTCACAGGCCTTTGAGTCTTTGTGTGAGTAAAAGCAGAGTTACTTGTATAATTCCACAGGGACCAGCAGCCTGACATTTCTAGTTCTATATGTTCATGATTTCTCTCCTTCACAACATGTTCACAATGGTTATCAGAAAGAAAAAGCAATTCTGCAAGGAGCTTGTTCTTTGGGTACAGTGACAACGTACTGTAGTCAGTTACAAATTGAGCTGCTAACTACAAGGCCAGAAGTTCGAACCCATCAACCACTCCACGGGAGAAAGATGAAGCTTTCTGCTCCTGTGAAGATTAACAGCCTCAAAAACCCTATACAGGGTCACTATGAGTCAGAAACTCAAAGGCACTAACAAGAACAACAAAAGAAACTGTGTCAATGGTGAAGTCTGAAAGAAGATATTATAAGCACAGTCTGTAAACAGACTTTGTAAAATCCTTTGTAAAAATATTTTAATTGCTTCCCTAGTTAAGGATTCCATTAATGCACAGTAGACTCCTTGTACAAAGAACCACTAAAAACTACCAAAAACTATCGCAAACAAACCTTAATAAACGGTTTCCAGTGAGATGACTTGGCTCAACCTGAACATTCAAAAAAACTGGCTCTACTTGAAAAGATCACAGGTTTTTTTTTTTGAAGGGCTTCAAACCAGTTTGAATACATTCAGTCAGGGCAATAAAGATTGAACCAGTTCAAACTTCAGACATAAAATGGGAAACTTGGAAGTGGGGTAACGAGCCCCTTCAGGAACGTAATTCAGAAAATTGGATTATTGGCAGGCTAGGACTGTAGAGAGCAACACCCATTCAAAGCTGGGTCATCAGCTGCCGTATTTGAGCAGGGCACCGTTATTTCCAACTCTGATGGTCATGAGATTTGGTTGTTTTTTAGGAGGGAAAGTAAATTTCTAAACAGGGCACTGACCTGTAATTTTTTCCATTCCTGTTATTGTTGTGGTTTACCCACATTTCACAAATTTGGGTCCATTCCAGTTTCACTTCCTCAGACATGACTGAACTGGAAGAACTGGTTCAAAGACCTGTTTCTTTGAGCAGCTTAGAAGCCCCTCTATTTAAGCATAGTACTTCTGGTTTGTAAAAGGTAAACTGCTGGGGGTAGTCACAGCTATTTAATCTGTTTCAATGGCCCTTTGTTTAGGTTTTAAATGTTGATAATTTTTGGTTTGAAGTACCATTTTGAATGCTTCTGAACTTTCAATTTGTAGTTTTTACCACAAGCTGGGCAGTTTTATACATTGAAATCAATCCAGGGCTGTGTTCTTTAGGCACAGTGACAGCCACTTATTGAAGTGAATTCACTCTTGGAGCTGCCACTATGGGGATTCAAAAGAAGGAATTTCATAACAAGGGGCTAGGGAGCAGGGACAAGCATCTTTGAGGAAATTATAATACAAGCAAGTATCCTCACCTAATAATTGTACCAGATTAGGATGCTTGATTTCCTTCATTACTGCAGCTTCTTTCAGGAACTCTTCCACCTCCATGGTATCTTCCTGAAAAGAGGGAAGTTAAGAGAAAAGAGGGAGATGGACCAATACCCATCTTAATCATTGAGTCCACTCACTATCCTGAAACTTCAACTTTAAAAGTAAAAAAGGTTACCTTTTCAGTACTTTAGTGTATTCATCAAGAAAATCTACCATAGCCTAATATGCTCTACAAGGAGCCTTGACAGTGCGGTGGATTACACGCTGAGCTGCTGACTGCTAGGTCAGCAGTTCGAGTCCACCAGCCATTTGTGGGAGAAAGATGAGGCTTTCTGCTCCCATAAAGATTTACAGCCTTGGAGACCCTATAGAGGGTTGCTATGAGTCAGAATCAGAATCAACTCCATAGCACACCACCATCACCATTAAGCTTCTAAAGGCACTCTGGTGGCACTGTAGGATATGCACTGGCCTACTAACCACAAAGGCCAGTAGTTGCAATCTACCAGTTGCTCCTCTGGAGAAAGATGAGGCTTTCTGCTCCTGTGAAGATTACAGCCTCAGAAACCCTATAGATAAGGTTGCTCTATGTAGGTAGGAAACACCACCACCTCTAATATGTCTTTGAATCTATCCAATATCAGCACTGGAGTGCAAAATAGGATAAGCAAAACTCAGTAACCATATTCTATAACCAACGAAAGCACAGGTGATGTGGACTGGATCGCTCAGTTCCCTGATAGTTTTGTTCCCTAGGTATCTCAACCTTTGAACATGTCTGTCTCTCTGATAACACCACAAGCTCCTTAAAGAGGAATGTGTCTGCAGAATGTTTCATACTCAAAATACACTTAATATATGCTTGAGAAACAAAACTGACTATTCTTCACAGCTGAAGAGAAGTCCCTACAAGTGATATGCCACAGCTACTGAAGCTCAGGACTCCTGGTGTGGCGCTGTAGGATCAGCACTGGACTGCAAACCACAAGGTCAGCAGTTCAAACCCACCAGATGCTCCTCGGAAATCCTATACAGGGTCACCATGAGTCAAAACCAACTGGATGACACTTAACAGCAACAACTGAGGCTCTGGGAGAATCTTTAGAGATTGAAATGGGTGGCACACCCTAAAATATGATACCATGATACTTAAAGAAAGATATAAAGTAGCATTAGGAAAAAGATTTCTGTGAATACTAACAAGCAAAAGAGATCTAATTATATGGGAATGGGGACAAGAGGCAAAGAATAAGGACAGAACAAGAAAGGGAGAGCCCACATAATTCACTGACAGTGTAAGAATTCTGTCTAGCAAGGTTCATTTTCAAGAAGCAAAATAGCTTACTATATTTTCCACCCACATAGGGTACACAGGAAACTAACCATGAAGGGTCCCATGGTTTGCAAAAAAGATGTAATGTGTACATTGTTGTTGTTAAGTACCATGGAGTCGGTTCCGACTCAAAGTGACCCTGTACAGGGTTTCCGAGGCTACAAATCTTTATAGTAGCAGAACGCCTCATCTTTCTCCCGTGGAACAGCTGGTAGTTTCGAACTGCTGACCTTGAGGTTAGCAGCCTGATTCATAACCACTACGCTATCAAAGTTCCATTGCTTGGCATAAAAACTTGGTGTTTTGCATTTATATCTTTTTATTTGCTTCTAACCTCCGTCTAAGATCTGCATCAACAGCTTCCAGAAGCAGACCATGCCCACACATGGGTTTTACCGCACTGCACTGAATAATTTGCCCCTGCATTGCTGGTAATGGCACTAGGCTTATTCATCATAAGTTGCTGCTTGGCACCCGGTGGGTGGAAAGTATTCCAAAGTTACAAAAAGATACAGTGATACTTCCAAGTGATTCAGTACAAAAGACAAAGATGCCTATAAACTGCAATTCCAGGCAACTCACCTTCAGTGTCTTCACAGCAACTGTAAGGCTGTATTTCTTCCAGACGCCAACGTACACCTCTCCATACTGACCACCCCCAAGTTTGTGCTTCATGGTAATATCTGTCCGTTCCATTTCCCATTTGTCGTGGATAGGGGATACACCGTAAACGGTAGGCTTATTACACTTGGGTGCTGGGTAGTGCAAAGTTGTCACCAGCCCATCAGCCACTGTGGAGTGGTGGTGAACGAGCTCGGCCAGTGTGCTGAAGCGGCTTTCAGCAGTCACACAGACCTGGTGAAGCAAGCAGCACAGAAAACTACACCAACTGGAAAGGTCAAGGGTTTAAAACAAACAAAAACCACACATTATCTCATTGCCCTGAGACATGAAGATAGGAGGATAACTTATTCAGGTAAATGTAACAGGAAACACAAAGCCTCAGTTTGGTCTTATTTAAATCACCTTTCCTACAAAGTCAGTGGTTCTCCAGACCACTTTACTACTCTTCTTTTCAGAACTTCAAATACATTATTGTGTATTTATAAAAATACCAACATTGTAAGATAAATACTGGACTACAAAGTCAGTTTGAACCAAGATCAGCATTTCAAACACACCAGCTGCTTCTCAGAAACCCTACACAGGGTCGCCATGAGTCGGAACTGACACCGCGGCACTTAACAACAACAACAACAAATTAGCTTAATCATGGGGAAGAAGATTCTAAGGTATCTCTCTGTATTATCAAGATCATTGGTCATCAAATATTTTTAAGCAACAAGACTATGGAACATAATATGGATAAGCCTTCAAAAAGTTTTGGGAAAATTCCATTATTTTTTAATTCCATTTTCCCACAATTTTTTTGAATCCCCTTGTATCTAAAACAGGTTGAAGAAAAGATAACTTTGTTTGATGTAAGCAAGAAGGAACTTGGCCTTTGGGAAAAACTTATGATCCTGAGATACATATATCATAATTTGAAAACTACAGAATTAATTTTGGTGGGGAGAGGTGGAGGACAGAAGAAGGGTATTAAAATATAAACAGACTTCAGACACTGACTGAGGGAGCTTAAACAACAACAACCCCAAGCAACCCCTTACAAACCAACTCTGTAAAGCCTATTACAATCAAAGTATAGTGTGAACACATACAATGATTCATGTTAACATACAAGTGTTACTTTGCCATAAACATCAAAACATTGTGGTTGTTAGGAGCAGTAAAGTGGTTCTGACTCATACTACCTCTGAGTTACCAGGACTCCTTCTGTAGCACTGTGGTTGTTGCTAAGTGCCATCGAGTCAGTTCCAACTCTTAGCAACCAGTATAGAATTTCTGAGGAGTGGCTGTTGAGTGTGAACCGCCAACTTTGTGACTAACAGTCTAGTGCTTATCCCACAGTGCCTCCTTAGGACTCCTATGTAACATTACCACTATAATTCCAGAACATTTCATCACCCCAAAAAGAAACCCTATGTCTTTCCCCACGACCCATTCCCTAACATCAACTAATACTTTTACTGTGAGATTCATCTACAGCAGGAGTCAGTAACCTTTTTGTAAAAGGTCAGATAGTAAATACTTTAGGCTTACCGGTCACAGGGTCTTGGTCTTAACTACTCTCTCTGGGACACAGACAATATATAAAAAAATGGATATGGCCATGTTCCAATAAAGTTTTATTTACAAAAGCACGCCACTGGCAGGCTACCATTCGCCCTGATAGTGCTCTACTGTAGCAGTGGTCTGCTCAATGTTGTTGCTATATATATATATATATATATTCCATTTTATGCATAGATCACAATTTAGTAATCCATACTACAGTTCAGACATTTGTATGTTTCCAGGTTTGGTCTATTAACAAACATTGCTGTTATGAACATTTTTGTACATGCTGTCTGATACACATACATACTCATTTCTGTTGATACAACAGAATATAACAACTGATACAGCCTGTGCTTAAGTGATTACAGTATAATAGTTGTACTCTAAAGAAGAGGATCTTCCCTAATGCTTAAGTAGATAAATGACTGATCTATTTATATTAATATACATTAATGATTAACACCAGTCTTAGAAGCCTAAATTTTTATTTTTGAGAGAGATTATTCTAATTTTCAAAGATACAAGGTTAATTTATAAATTTCACACAATGTATTGGAAGTATATGAGTATACTTATAAACTGACAATGATTAAAACAGCTCACTTATATAGTAGTTTCCTTCATTTTTCAACTTCATATCTAAGCCTAAGAAGCAAGCTTTCAAACATACTAAATAGCCAGCCCAAATCCACAAAGTTGAGAGAACATTTCATGCCAGCTATAAGCGCTATACAAAACCCTGGTGTGGTGCTGTAAAGCACTGGACTGGTAACCACAAGGTCAGCAGTTCAAAGCCACCAGCCACTCTTGGAAAACTCATATAGGGTTACTATGAGTAGGAACCAACTCGATGACACATAACAGCAACAACAATAATACACGTTATCGATTTCACTTTAGTTACCCTGAGTATTGTTTCTACACAACATCTCCTAAGTCTTACCTTGCCATCTGTTGTGGTATTGATCCTGTAGTGATACACACGCCCCTCATACCTGAGCGAGATGGAGAGCTGCCCGGGGCTGCTCTCGCTTTCTCGCACCAGGAAACTGCCATTGATGAGACTGCTCAGCAGGTACTCGGCTGCACTGCGTGACACAGGTCCATGGTACCAGGAATGCTTTTCCAAGCTGTTCACTGGGGTGATGTAGTTGCTTGGCACCCAACCCTGTCCATTCTTAGAGCGAACTTCACTCCACTCGCCATTCTGATTGTAACCAAGGACCCGGAGCTTTTCACCTAATCAGGAAGTCATCACAGAATGAAAGGAAAGATATTAAGACTTTATTTCATACAGAAGCAGTCTATTTTCAAACTTAAAACTTGTTAAAAAATGAATCAGGTATTTTTATACAGAATTTTTTTTTTTAATAATGCAAACAAACTTAGTTGTTATCTTGATTGATCTCTTTAACCTGTAGCTAAAACTATGGAGGCACAGTCAGAAATAGTTTTCTGGCATTTACTATAGGGTTTCAGGTTTTTGTGGGCCACTAGGAACAAAAGGAAACTAGGATGCATGGGAGTAAGGTGGCATACACCGACGGACAAAAATGTTACTTAACTGGTTGGAAAATGGCATGATGCTCACCCTTCAAAAAAACAGTTCAGATTTCCTCAAAAAGTTTATCAAGGAATGTATGTTACATTTCGTTCAATACTAACAAAAATTGAGGATTAGGGATTTTTATTGTTAAGTGCTGCTGAGTCAATTCCGACTCACAGAGATCCTGTATAGGATTTCCAGGAGTGGCTGGTGGGTTTGAATCACCAACCTTGCAATTGAAACCATCATTATGGCCCAGTGCTTTTCCTGAGGCACCACACCAAGACTCCATAAGGCAAGTGAAATAAAAGTCACTTCTAAATTATACTTGGCACCAATGAAACAAAATCATCAATATAAAGACAGAAAAAACAACAACAACAACAAAAAACAGGCCACAGACCTTTCAGCAATATTTTCAGGTACTGGGGTGTGGGCAAAGAAGACTTTCAACGCACATCTTCTCCAGGAGCTAAGTTTTAAAATAATTATACTTGCCCCCACTTCCCTCCATTCCCCTATGAAGAATAATTCACTCATCCATTTCTCTAAAATCCATGTGTGGAAAAGGAAGCTGATTCTGAAATGGAACTCATACTCCAAATTATTCAGAGTATCTTGCTGTTAATGTCAATGTCCTTGACTTCTCTGTTAAAGTTGTGAACAAGTTTGAGACTCCCTCTATATACAGACATTTTTGTCCCTGTGATTGCAGCAGATTAGAAGCTCTTTGCCAAAACACAGGAGGCGAAACCAACATCGTTAGTAATAAATGATAGCCTACAGAATCCTAGGGACTTAGGCCTCAGGCTGTCTCTGAGAAATGCAAGCCTTCATATAAAGTTTACACACACATTCTCAGTGTCAGAATGCAGAAGAAACAAAATTCATGAAAAGTACATGGCCCAATAGTTATGAGACAAAGGCTATAAAGGAAAAATTCAAAATCATGACTCTGGCAAGCCATCTAACATTTTCAGTAGCCTATAGAACAATGACCACAGGATGACTTTCTATTACTCCCTACATTCAATAAGGAAAAACACAAGCCTGTATACATACATACATATACGAAGGAGCTTCAAAAACTTCATGGATAAAAAGGCATTAAAAGATAAATGGAATTTTCCCACAAACTTTCTAAAGCCCGCCCCGACGCCCACCGCAGGGATGTATGTATACAAATGTACATATACACACAGGAATACACGTGGTGTGGTGGTGGTGTGCACAAGTATGCAAACACACCCCAACAATATTTATAAGAACAATATTAAAGAATCTTAACAAAGCTGTTAGAAAAACTGAGGGAATCAATGTTGTTCTGGTAGCCCAAAATAATTAGAAATGAAGATTAAGTCCTATATTTTGCTTCTTTACAAATAATTAGCTATGAAAGTTTAGTTTAGTGCCATCAAGTCAGTTCTGACTCATAACGACCCTGTATAGGTTTCCCAAGGAGCGACTGGTGGGCTTGAACTGCCAACCTTTAAATATCATCTTTAAAGAAGGAACTAAATGCTACTGTTTAATTTGAAAAAAAAAAACAAACAAACGTTTTTTGTGAACTGAGCGAAATCTTTCAGAGCAGTCAGTTTTATATTCAACAAATCGTATCCTTTATTTTAGCTCAATGATTGTAATCTCTTCCTTGTTAATAAGTTATTCCACTTCCTCCCTGTGGTTCTGATTTCCATTCCACTCATCTTCCTAGCTTCTCAACTTCGTCCCTTAGGCATATGTTGCCTTTTTGATCTTGAATAGTTGACTGTTTCACGGTGAGCATTCCTTATTAGTGTTGTTGTCTCCCTATCACCTATCTACTGATTGGTGAAAACTGGGCCACAAGGATGAGTTCTGTTCTAGATCTGAAGGGTGGTCAAGGGCCCTAGTCTCAGGGTTCCTTCAGTCTCTTTCTGATCAGTAAACTGGTTTTCTTTGTGTGTGTGTTTTTTCCTCATTTTGTTTCTTTTTAATATAATTTTGAGTTTTGTTCCACATTGTCTCCCACTGTACTCAGAACCTTCTCATGTGATCCCTTTCAGAGCAATTGGTAGTGGTAGCTGGACACCATCTAATTCTTCAGTCTTAAGAGTTGTGGAGAATGATGTTCACATGTTCACTAGTCCATTGGAAATTGATTCCAAGCATCTTCAACGTTCATCATTCTTTTTTCTTTCACAGATGGAGAGAGTAATAGTTGCATCTTTTAGAAGGCCACTCATGAGCTTTTAAGATCCAGTCACTACTCGCCAAAGCAGGATGAAGAACATTGTCTTTGTGGATTATGTTATATCAATTGTGCTGAGTCTATAGTCCTGAGATCCCAAGCACAGCAAATACCTTGTTATTTGGTATTATCTAAAATTTTTTTACCATTTTGTCCCCTGTATGATCCACCACATTCATAAGTATGCTGACACCAAAGGTAAATATATCCATGAACAAATATCTTCTGTCTTTGGGGGTATACTCCCTCTCACTCTCATACCATATCTACCCATAAAACACTGTTGTTGCAGGGTTGTGCATGTTTTAAGTGCCATTCAGTCAGTTTCAACTCATAGGGACCCTGTATAGGGTTTCCAAGGAGCAGCTAGTGAATTTAAACTGCTGACTGGGCAGTTCAAAACAATCTTGTAGTCCAGTGCATATTTCTGCAGCGCCACACCATGATTCTGGGTTGTATATGTAACAGTATTTATCTATCTCCTTTAATCCTTGCATTCCTGTGTCTTCATTATTCTTCTGCCAACCTTCCTCTTGTATATTGCCTTCCCTGTCACCCAAGTTAACATGTGTCTACCCTCTAACCATAGACTTACTCTCCTTTCCCTCCCAACCCTAATAACTATTATTGTTGCATAAAAACCTTTTCTTGATTTTTATAATAGTGGTCTCATACAGTATTTGTTCTTTTATGATCGACTGATTTCACTCAGCATGATGTCCTCCAAGCTCATTCATGTTATGAGGTGCTTTACAAATTCCTTATTATATTCAATATTGTGTAGTACTCCATTGTGTGTATGTATCAAAGTTGATCTATTCTTCCAATGATGGACGAATCCCATCTTTTTGCTACTGTGAATAGTGTTACGATGAACATAGGTGTGCATATATCTACTCGCGTCATGATTCTCATTTCCTGGGGATATACACCAAGTAGAGGGATTGCTGGGTCATATGGTATTACCATTTCTAACTTTTTGAGGAAGCCCCATTGTATTTTCCACAGTGGTTATACCATTTTATAGTCCCACCAGCAATGTAAGAGGGTTCAAGTCTCTCCACACCCTTGGCAACGTTGTTGTTGTTTTTTTATTAATACTGGAGTGAGACGATATCTCATTGCTTTGATTTACATCTCTCTATTGACTAAGCTCACCAGCTGCTCCTTGGAAAATCCTATACATGGTTGCTATGGGTTGAAATAGACTATACAGCACTTAACAACAACAACGACTAGGAGTCCTGGTGTGACACTGTAAGATAAGCACTGGACCACAAGGTTATTTGAACTATAAGGTCGATGATTCAAACTCACCAGCTGCTCCTCTGAAACCCTATACAGGGTCAATGTAAGTTGGAACCCAATGATGGCACCTGAAAACAACAACTAGTAATGAGTCATTATGTTTTTATGTTGACAGTATGTTTATGCCATGTATCAGAGTCCCTAAGCTTGATCCCAGTTTTTCTTTTTTTAACTTTTTATTGTGAATTGAGTTAAGGTTTACAGACAAGATCATCAGCTTAACATTCAACAATCATACACTTTGTTTCATCTCAATGATTACAGTCTCCTCCATGCAACAACACTTATTCTGCCTCCTCCCTGTGATTCCTATTTGCATTCCACCCACCTTCTTATTCCTTCTCAATTTTGTCCTTAGGAAAATGTTGCTCTTTTGAATGCTTGACCATTCCATAGTGAACATATCTTGCTAATGTTATTGTTTCCCCCCACAATCAACCTATCAACTGCTTGGCTGAAACGGGTTAGTGAGGGTGAGTTCCTTTCCAGACCTGACGGGTAGTCGAGGGCCAGTCTCAGGTTCCTCCAGACTTTCCGACCAGTAAACCTGTTTTTTGTTGTTATTTCTACTACTAAATAATTTTGAGATTTGTTATACAACTTCTCCCAGTCTATCCGGGACCCTCTAATATAATCATTTTCAGAGCAGTTGGTAGTGGTAGCTGAACACATCTAGTACTTCTGGTCTGAGAGTCATGGAGAATGATGTTTACATGTTCCATTCATTAGTCCATTGGACTTATTCCAAGCCTCTTCAGCTTTCATCACTTATTTTCTTCCGCACATGGAGTGACCTGTCCTATTTTTTCATTGATGATCTTTATTGTGCTAGGTTTTACACCTGGGTCTTTAATCTACGTTGTTTGTTTTTATATACGGTATGAGACATGGCTCTTGTTTCATTTTTCTGCAAATGGATTTCCAGTTTTTCCTGCACATTTTGTTGAAGAGACTATCTCTTCCTCCATCAAAGATCAGATGACTATATACGGATGCATTTCCTTCTGGGCTCTCAGTTTTGTTCCATTGATCTATGTGCCTTTCATTGTACCAGTAACAGGCTGTTTTGACCATTGTGAACATGTAGTAGATTTTAAAATCATTAAGTGAGAGGTCTTCAACTTTGTTCTTCTTAAGTAATGTTTTGCTTATCTGAGGTCTCTTTCCTTCCCATATAAAGTTTTGGTTGGTCAGTTTTTCCATCTTTTTAAAGAATTATGTTGGAATCTCTATTAGGATTGCACTGTATCTTGCCTTTTTATTTTCAAACTACATAATATTTTATATATATCTACATGTATATTATATCTTTTAAAACAGTAAAACAGCTTTAACATGGCATTTTATATTAATGAGAATCTGGTTTACAGAGTTGGCATTTTATAAGTTTTACAAGAAACCACTGTTGACCATAAGATCATGGAATCCCACTACCTGAGCTACACACTGTGGTTTCTCTAACTGGTAACTGAGGAATCAACGGATTTTCCTTAACTTCCCTTATCAATGTTTCCATGGTAACTGAGTTATCCTGGAAAATACCAACAAGAAAATTAAACCTAGAAAAGAATGTTCTGAGTCATCGCTTCACAAATTTCTCCACTTAAGTACCACTACAGATAAAATTGCATGTCGTAGCCCAAAGAAATTATCACACCGTATAAGATTTCTATGAAGTTCTTTGTTTAATCCTGAGCTTTCAAGTAAAAATTTCCTTCAACTCCATAAACACATCCCAACATACACACATAACAAATGCCATCACCCTGCCCCCCCCCCCCCCCCACCCACGAAAAACCCACCAAAACAAAAAAAACTGCCTGAAACGGTCAAATGAAACTGGCAGCATGAGCTAAGCACTTTAGTTTCCCTGTGCCTTTGAGAGCTCCTGGCACATGCAGACACCAACCACTCCTCTCCAGGGCATAGCTATAACCCTTGTTTGAGAAATGGCGTTTTAAGGGTTTCTGTTTTGGTGAATCTTGGTTAAAAAAAAAAATGAAACAGTGAATGAAAAATTTTTATTAAGTGTAACATTCCTGTAGTGAAGCCCTGCCTTCTTAATTTGGTATACACATTCACATTCAATACGAGGGACTTCAAAAAGTTTGTGGAAAAATTCTATTATCTTTTCATTTCATTTCTTCATGAACATTTTGCAGCTTCCTCATACCTCATTGTGAATCTCACTAAAAGGCCAATAATCATTTGACCAATAATCATTTAAGTTACAACTGTATATAGTTAAAAATTATCCTGAAATAACATTTTTTATGAGTAAGAGACTTTCAAAAGTTCAAAAGGGAAGAAGCATAGACAGACTAATCCAACTCCTATACACAATGATGATGTCCTCATGCTCTTATCTCTCTCCCTTAAAAGGTCCATCATTTTCAGTTTTTGTTCAAAAAACCAAGAATGGGTGATTTTACTTGGTTGTGTTCTTACTGTTCCCTTTTGCCTTTACCATTGACATAAACTACTAATCTCCTGAAAGAGTAGTTTAATAGAAACTCTCTATTGCTGTTTTCACCCACTGACATAAACATGAATGACAAACATATAAGTTGTCTATGCTACTGCCACTTAAAGATGTATCACATCAAGGGAAGAAACTTGTACCAGAATGTGACTCACTGCACTACTTTCTTCATGTAGAAAGTCTTGCTCCAAAAACAAAATGTCAACTGAACTAAGTATAAATATTGTGCTTAGTAATGTACGTGGATGACAATTTGGATGCAAGCTCTTAATCTCATTGCAAACTGGTAACAAACAATTCTCTGAGAAGCACTGGCATCTAACAACATGACTCATCTTAAAACTAATATATACTAAGTTGAATTAGAATAATCTATACTAAGGAGCTCTGGTAGCATAGTGATTACAAATTGGGCTGAGACCCGCAAGGTCAGCAGTTCGAAACTACCAGCCGCTCCGCAGGAGAAAGATGAGGCGATCTGCTCCCGTAAAGATTTACAGCCTCGGAAACCCTGTTCAGGGTCGCTATGGGTCGAAACCGACTCGACGGCACTTAACAACAACAACAACAAATACTAAGTCTTACCTGTGTAACACAGATACTGGCATATTATAGATAACATTCATAATACAAAATTCTGAGAATGGGTAAAGTTTATGTATATAGTGTGTGATGTTTCTCTAAGGTACTTTATGTCATTTCATCCTTAAGCTCTCTAATTTAGACAAAATGGTACTATCCTAGACAGAATGCAAAACAAAACAAATGAACCAAAAGCCTCTAAGTCAAAATCACCTAGCTAGTTTTAGTTAATGGCTGAATCTAGAACAGACAGACCCTTTATTTTTTGATCACTGATGAAAATTGAAAAGTCAGAGGGTGCCACACAGAAGCCTCACCTTTAGTGATGCTGAGTGTATTATCGCCACTTGCTACAAAATCGTAAAGTGCAACAAAGAGATTAGGGTCACTCTCAGTGGCTCCCAGCAAGTTTTCCTTGGAGCTCCACCTGATGGCTTCGTTCAGTGCCTGGGATTCAACGTCACAGCCGTACGGGCGGTGCAAGGCTTCTGAAAGACATAAAAGGGTAAAGAAATTCACAATAAGCTCAACACTTGAAAATCTACTTGTGTTTAATACATACAGAAAATTGTAATTTCTGGCATATACTGAAAGTTCCAGGTAGGACTATGTATTTGTGGATTCATGAAGAATGAGCCAACAGGCAATGTCATCTTAACATTTTCTAATATGCAACCTATTGACACGAGGAAGCGTCTACATAGCAAAAATGTAACAAGCCAGAGAAGGAATACCCAATGAGAATTTCCCCGATTTGTATGTATTCATCAAAATCAGATACTAGTGAATAGGAAAAGCACAGTTTTCTCAAAATGAAAATGAAAAAAAAATTCCATAAATAAATAGCTAATAGCTTTAAAAATAGATATTCTGTTGTTAAAATATTTTGATATTTTGTTGTTGTGTACTTAAAGAAGGAAAGTCTTGGCTTTTCTTTCTTTAATCCCTCCATATAAAGTAAATTGTAGAGAAGAAAACAAAGGCATTTTTTTCAGAAATAGGTACATATTATCTCAATCCAGACTCTCCATTTATATATGGAAAAAAACTATGGAAATAGTTTTTTAATAATAGTTTTTATTTTATAACATAAAATCCTAAAATTGTCTGCCAAAAACTAGAAATATTTTTGGTTTACTATTAAGATATTCTTAGTATTCCCAAATACCCATATGTTACGATGCACAATCTGTAATACTATAGCTTGCAACTATTAATTGCCTTAATGACAAATTTTTTTATCTATTCTATTTTTCTGGGCAGTGGATTTTTGGTAAAATAGCAACAATTTAATTAAAGATTCTAAAAATATCACCACCAAGACATTTACTGAGTTCTACAACATCAACAATCATGTGCAGGGAGTCCTGGTGTGGCACTGTAGAATAAGCACTAGACCTCAAGGTTGGTTTGACTTGCAAGGTTGGTGGTTCAAATTCATCAGCCGCTCCTTGGAAACCCTGTACAGGGATGCTACGAATTGGAGTCTACTTAATAACAACAATCATGTGTTATGGTTAAGGCCTTCTAAGACCTGGCTTCTTCCTGTAGACTATACAGTTCCTAAATTTAATCATACACTCCTGGTGTGATACTGTTGGATCTGCAATGGGCTGTAAACCACAAAGTCAGCAGTTCAAACCCACCAGGTACTCCTCGGAAACCCTATACAGACTATGAGTCAAAACCAACTCGACTGCATTTAACAACAACAACAACAACAAATCTAGTCATATTACACAAACAGGAGATCCCCATCCTGTCTTAATTAAAGATCACCTGTTTCTCACCACCCAGGTCTATTATACAGAAACACACTGCTTTTTAGAAGTGATTTTCTAGATCATTGAACCTATTTTAATAGTTTTCTGAGAAGGCAAACCATCCAACTGCCTATGTCATACAATGACACTTTTTTTTTTCTATTCCCTCTCTCTCACTTTCTCTCCATTCCTGCAGTCATATTTAATTTGAAATAAATTTTACTGTATTTAAAGGAAAAAAGACCTTAAATCTGTGGTTTCACTTTTCAAACCATCCCCTCCTCTCCATCCCTATTGGTATCACCTTAGTTTAGATTTCCATCATCTCTCACCTGGACTATTGCCTCCAGTCTTGTCTCCCTCAAATCCATCCTCCACACAGCTGGCAAAGTGATCTATTTAAAACAAAAATGTGACCACGTCACTCTTCTGAAGGCAGTAGTTCACCATCAGGTCAAAATTCCTTCACATGGTCTTCAAGACCTTTCATGATCAAGTTTCCACTTACTTCTCTAGCCTGACATCTCCCATGTCACACCTCAAGTTTAAAATGTTAACATGTACCGCACTGTTTCCCACCTTTCTGCCTTTGTTCATGCAGTCCTGTCTACCCGCAATGGGTTCTCAGCCCATTCTTTGACTGGCTGACTTCTACTCTTGGCACTCCACTCCCATACATCCTCCACTAGGAAGCCTCCCATACTTCTCTCCTCGTTCTCAAAAGCATTACACTTGCCACATTAACATCCTTTATTTATCTCCATATTTATAACATTGTTGTTACTGTTAACTGCTGTTTACTTGGCTCTGACTCATAGCAACCCTGTATAAGGTTTCCAAGGAGTGGTTAGTGGGTTTCAACTGCTGAATGAAACCTTGTGGTTAGCATTCCAGTGCTTATCCTAGAGTGCCACCCCAAGACTCCTCTAATCATATTTGTTTACCAAACTTCATAGTATATTCCTTGGAAGCAAGAACTCTATTTTTTCTTTTTCCTTCCTATCTCAAGTTACACAATATGTATTCAATATTGTTGACTGGAGTCTTGGTGGGGTACTGTAGATAAGTACTCAACCACAAGGGCAGTTTGAGCCACAAGGGCAGAGGTTCAAACTCACTAAGCCGCTCCTCAGAAAACCTACACAGGGTCGCTATGAGTCAGAACCAACTTGATGAATGACCAAGTTAAACAAAAATAGGAGTGACAGGAAACAATAAGATGCATTTTAACCTTAAAAATTACATTAACCTGGACGTGTGGCCAGAGACGGGTAAGGATCACGTGGAACCTCGGCAACCTAAGACAGAGCCATTGTCATGCTGCAATGAGTTTCGATGACAGGTAAGACTGAGGAATTCACA